TTTAAATTTTATTGCAATTTTATTTTGAATTATCTACAATTCACACATTAGTAAATAACCCTGGGACTGTTTTGTATCTCTCTAATAAGTTACGCTTGACAGGAGAGAGGCAGAGATAGAAAATACTTCACTCATATGACTCTCCTCTCTGCCGCGGTCCATTTTTATAAGTAGTATTTTAATATATAATATTATATTGCTGAAATAAGTGCAGACGATCAATAATTAATTATTAGCAATCAAATTATACTGACTGCAAACTATAACTGCTGGGCATATTTCCTGGAATCTAATTTGCCAGGACAGAAGCCTGGACTATTGGCAACTGTTTTACTTGATTATGTCTGACTACCAAGTGCCCAGGAAGTACAACATTCCACCAGAGCCATTATATTCTTAATGCACAGCTCTACACAGAGTTTGGTTGTGGATCATCCTACAGGGCACATCTCGTAGAACAAATAGTTGTCATCCAATTGCTTATAATCCTTTCCTGTAAAGTGCGTAGCCCAAACACAGTGTCTGCTGGCCATATGATTATGTCATGTTTACACATGCAACGTTCATGTTATCTAATGACGTCCTCTAAACTGGGGCTGGCTTCTAAACACATCTCAATCTCCATTGTTTACCTAACTTCTGGAATAAACATAAGCCTTATAATTAAAAGGTTTGGTTCCATCTATTCAAAACAGGAATGAAATGTTATATTTGAAAGACAACTATTCACTGTGCAAGTTGTAGTGAATTGAAAACCGAATTACAATATGAGAGTATTTGGGAAAATTATCCACTCAGCTATACATAATTTAATAGGAATAAAATATAAAAGAAAATTGAGAAATTAAGAAATTTTGTTTTTAGTTCTGCATTACATTTTAACTGTGAATGTCATAATACTGTTTACTTTTACTGCAATAAAATACACATATTTGTATTCAGCAATGTCTCACATGTAAAACAGTACAAGTTTTATGGTGTTTTGGGTAGTTACAGGCAGTGGCGTACACATGACCCATGGGGCCCAGGTGCGAAAATTGATCCGTGGGCCCCCCCTCCGCCACGCTTACTCGGCGCGGGTCGGGGCCGCAACACATGGCGGCACCTGGTCGCAGGGGTTGCAGGGCTGCGACCCCGCGACCGCGGTATGCACACACACTTAAAGGACCACTACAGACACCCAGATCACATCAGCTCAATGAAGTGATCTGGGTGCCAGGTCCCTCTAGTTTTAACCCTGCAGCTGAAAACATAGCAGTTTCAGAGAAACGGCTATGTTTCACTGAGGGTTAATCCAGCCTCTGGTGGCTGTCTCATTGACAGCTGCTAGAGGATTCCGCGATTCTCACTGTGAAAATCACAGTGAGAAGACACTGAACGTCCATAGGAAAGCATTGAGTAATGCTTTCCTATGGGCGGTTTAAATGCGCGCGCGCCTCTTGCCGCGCATGTGCATTCGGAGCTGAGAGGCGAGACACGGGGAGTCCGACGCTGGAGAAAGGTAAATGCTGAAGACACACACACACTCTCACGAACAGACGCATACACACTAGCTAACAGACACACACATTTACTGACAGAGACACACTCAGCGACAGACATACATACACACTCACTTACAAAACATACACTTTCACTGACAAACACACACTCAGTAACAGACATCAAACACACTCACTACACTCACTAGCAGACACACACCCAATAACAGACACATTCACTGACACACACACTAACACACGCACTAACACAAACAAACACTGACACACACACACACGCAACACACACACACTAACACACACACACACACTAACACACACATATACACACACACTAACTTACACACACACACACACTAACACACACACACTAACACACACACACACCAACACACACACACACACACACACACTAACACGCAACACACACACACACACACTAACACACACACACCTAACACACACACACACACACCTAACACACACACACACACACACATACACTAACACACACACACACTAACACACACACACACACACACACTAGCACACACATACACACACACACACACACACACATACACACACACACACACACACACACACACACACTAACACACACACTAACACACATACACACACACACACATACACTAACACACACACACACTAACACACACACATACACTAACACACACACATACACTAACACACACTAACACACACACACATTTTTTTTTTCAAATGTAATCCCCCCAGCCTCCTTACCTTTTGGAGTGCTGGGGGGATTCCCTGGGGTCCAGTGGTGCTGCTGGGCTGGCTGTCTGGCCGGCGCGCGAGGGAGCACTCTGCTCTGAGTGCTTCCTCTTCAGCTCCCTCGCGCGCCGCGTAGGGATGCCGGAGCCGGAAGATGACGTCATCTTCCGGCTCCGGTATCAGTGCGGTGCGCGAGGGAGCTGAAGAGGAAGCAGTGAGTGCTCCCTCGCGCACCGGCCTGCCCGACCGGCCACCCGCGCGCCCGCCGGGGTCAGCAGGGACAGCCTCGGGGGGCCCTGAGGTGGCCGCCTCCTGGGCCCCCCAGGGGAAGAGGCTGGCCCTGTGGGTACATACCGGGTCGCAGGGGCGGCCGGGCCCCCTGGTGGGCCGGGCCCGGTAGCAGCCGCGACCCCTGCGACCCTGGTATGTACGCCACTGGTTACACGGTCAAATAAAGCATGTTACATTTTTCAGTTTTTTCACATTGAAATTCGCCAGATTGGTTACGTTGCCTTTAAGATCGTATTCTAGCCCAGGAATGAGAATTACCCCAATGATGGCATACCATTTGAAATAGTAGACAACCCAAGGTATTGCAAATGGGGTATCTCCAGACTTTTTTAGTAGCCACTTAGTCACAAACACTTGCCAAAGTTAGCGTTAATATTTGTTTGTGTGTGAAAAATCCAAAAATGAATTTGAACGCCAATATCAAAATACAGTTAGAACAAAATTACACATATATATTAATAATTTTTTTATAATTTTTTTTATTTTTCATTTTTAACATATTTATATATTATTTATATTATATATTATATATATAAATAATTATAATTATATATCATTCTACGTGTATTTTGATATTAATATATATCTATTATATATATGTATATATATATATATATACTTAGATCATATAATTATATATATATATATATATATATATATATATATTTATATCATCTAAGTATATATTATTTTATTTTACAATGTCTTTGAACTTTATTTCAGGCAGCAGGGGGATTACCTGTCATTCCAGGCACTCCCCCTGCTGGCACTGCTATGGACGGCTATTCCGTCCATGTGATCATGAGGCTCTCGCAAAGACCTCGCGATCACATGGCCCAGGAGGACCGGATCAGATGCAGGGGTCTGCCTGGGATGACAGACAAGTCCCTCCATCGCGATCGCCTGCGTGGGATCGCCAGCGGGCAGGTATGTGCATAGGACGACAGGGATGTACTATGCCGCCTGCCGGCGCTTGGAGCCGGGTCTCCAAGGACAGCATAGCACGCCCGCAGTCCTTACGGGAACACTCCTGGCACCATAACAACTTAATGTCGAGGAAGTTGTTATGGCTACTCAAACTGGTGTGTTAGTGTTTTTATTAAAGTACAATTCGTTACTTATTCTAGTAAGCACTTCTATCATTTCACATAAAGGAACACTCCAGGCACCACAACAACTTCATATAATGCCATATATTGTACTATTGTAGTGGTTAGTGTGGATCTGCAGCCATGATTGCACCTATAGACTGTAAGCTTGTTGGAGCAGGGTCCTGTTCAACCTATCATTCCTGTAAGTTTTCTTGTTATTGTCCTATTTATAGTTAACCCCTTAAAACCGGAGGGCGTACTATTACGCCCTATTCTAAGCGGCTCTAAATGCCGCAGGGCGTAATAGTACGCCCTCCTGTTTTTCTTACTTACCCGGTCGCCAGGGAGTGCCCCACGGCGGATCCTACCTCCTCCGGCCTCCCCCTGGCCATGTGAGAGTGAGGACCTCACAATCACATGGCCGGGTTAGCTGGCTGCTGCATTGCCAGCAGGGGGACTGCCTGTAATGAAAGTTAGTCCCCCTGCTGGCTGGAAATAAAATAATGTTAAAATCAGTGTAAAAAAAATAAAAAATTATATACTTAGATCATAAAATATATATATATATATATATATACACACACTCATACACTGTCTAGGTGTATTTTACTATTAATATATATATATATATATATATATATATATTAATATCAAATTACACGTAGACTGATACTGATTAAATATATATATATATATATATAATTATTATATATATATTTATATATAATATAAAAAAATATGTAAATACGTTAAAAAATAAAATTAAAAATAAAAATAAATAATAAAAAAATATATAGATGTGTGTTATTTCGTTCTAACTGTATTGTGATATTAATATATATATATATATCAAAATACACGTAGAACAAAATAATATATATATCTATATACATAAATATATACGTCTATATCACTATATATATACCTATATATAAATACAAATATTTTTAATATTTATACACATACGTATTCTACATATATATTTATGTAATATTTTTACATAATTAGGTACTTTAATTAATTACAATTAGCAGGACCTGCCTGACAACCCATGCCGAAAGTATAGGGAATTTAATTTGTTAGCACTATATTTAACCCTATAACTTTCCAAGACACCATAAAACCTGTACATGGGGGGTACTGTTCTACTCGGGAGACTTCGCTGAACACAAATATTAGTGTTTCAAAACAGTAAAATGTATTACAAGGAATCACACTGAGTGAAGCTCTACAATGGGGCGGGGCTCTGTGTGGGTCACGTGACATGATGCTGTCAGTCACTCAGACCAGGAGTCACACTGAGGGAAGCTCTACAAAGGGGCGGGGCTCTCTGTGGGTCACGTGTCATGTTGCTGTCACTCAGTCAGACCAGGAGTCACACTGAGGGAAGCTCTACAAAGGGGCGTGGCTCTATGTTGGTCACGTGTTATGTTGCTGTCACTCAGTCAGCCTATGACAGTTACACTGTAAGAAAGGGAAGCTCTATAAGGGGGCGTGGTCATTCTGTCAGGCTGTGGGAGAGGGAAGCTGTTGTAAAGGGGGTGTGGTCAGGGCGTGGCACACGCCTTCAGAGGTCGCGAGATCTCGCGCTCGGATAGAACCCCGGTTACACCATTGGCCGCTGACGTCACAGGGAGTGGACGGAGACCATAGAGAGCCGCGCAGTAGGGGGATAGACTGTCACAGGCCGCGGTCGTTCTGTCGTGTTTACCGATCCGGTGACCCTGGCTCCCAGCTTCCCGTCCCCGGCCGCCCAGCCCCGGAGCGCTCCCCGCCGCGGGAGGATGAAGGCCTCGTGTGAGGCGGAGTCCGGGGCCTGGGGCTCTCTGGGCCGAGCCTGGAAACACATGTCCTGGCTGTACTACCAGTACCTGCTGGTAACCGCACTGTACATGCTGGAGCCCTGGGAGAGGACCATCTTCAGTATCCTTTATCATATAATATAATATATAGCCAGGGTGTGATAATATAATAATATATAGCCAGGGTGTGATAATATAATAATATATAGCCAGGGTGTGATAATATAATAATATATAGCCAGGGTGTGATAATATAATAATATATAGCCAGGGTGTGATAATATAATAATATATAGCCAGGGTGTGATAATATAATACTGTAACATAGAGCCGCACTGTACATGCTGGAGCCCTGGGAGAGGACCATCTTCAGTATCCTTTATATATAATATAATATATAGCCAGGGTGTGATAATATAATAATATAGCCAGGGTGTGATAATATAATACTGTAACATAGAGCCGCACTGTACATGCTGGAGCCCTGGGAGAGGACCATCTTCAGTATCCTTTATAATATATAATAATAATATATAATAATAATAATAATTAATAATATATAGCCAGGGTGTGATAATATAATATATAATAATACTGTAACATAGAGCCGCACTGTACATGCTGGAGCCCTGGGAGAGGACCATCTTCAGTATCCTTTATCATATAATAATAATATATAATAATAATATACTATAATAATATATAATATACTGTAACATAGAGCCGCACTGTACATGCTGGAGCCCTGGGAGAGGACCATCTTCAGTATCCTTTATCATATAATATAATATAATAATAATATATAGCCACGGTGTGATAATATAATAATAATAATAATAATAATATATAGCCAGGGTGTGATATAATAATATATAGCCAGGGTGTGATAATATAATACTGTAACATAGAGCCACACTCTACATGCTGGAGCCCTGGGAGAGGACCATCTTCAGTATCCTTTATCATATAATAATAATAATATATAATAATAATATACTGTAACATAGAGCCGCACTGTACATGCTGGAGCCCTGGGAGAGGACCATCTTCAGTATCCTTTATATATAATAATATAATAATAATATACTGTAACATAGAGCCGCACTGTACATGCTGGAGCCCTGGGAGAGGACCATCTTCAGTATCCTTTATATATAATAATATATAGCCAGGGTGTGATAATATAATAATATATAGCCAGGGTGTGATAATATAATACTGTAACATAGAGCCGCACTGTACATGCTGGAGCCCTGGGAGAGGACCATCTTCAGTATCCTTTATATATAATATAATATATAGCCAGGGTGTGATAATATAATAATATAGCCAGGGTGTGATAATATAATACTGTAACATAGAGCCGCACTGTACATGCTGGAGCCCTGGGAGAGGACCATCTTCAGTATCCTTTATAATATATAATAATAATAATATATAATAATAATAATAATTAATAATATATAGCCAGGGTGTGATAATATAATATATAATAATACTGTAACATAGAGCCGCACTGTACATGCTGGAGCCCTGGGAGAGGACCATCTTCAGTATCCTTTATCATATAATAATAATAATAATAATATATAATAATACTGTAACATAGAGCCACACTCTGCATGCTGGAGCCCTGGGAGAGGACCATCTTCAGTATCCTTTATAATATAATAATAATATATAGCCACGGTGTGATAATATAATACTGTAACATAGAGCCGAACTGTACATGCTGGAGCCCTGGGAGAGGACCATCTTCAGTATCCTTTATAATAATATAATAATAATATATAGCCAGGGTGTGATAATATAATAATATATAGCCAGGGTGTGGTAATATAATAATATATAGCCAGGGTGTGATAATATATAGCCAGGGTGTGATAATATAATACTGTAACATAGAGCCGCACTGTACATGCTGGAGCCCTGGGAGAGGACCATCTTCAGTATCCTTTATAATAATATAATAATATATAGCCAGGGTGTAATGATATAATAAATAGCCAGGGTGTGATGATAATATAATATATAGCCAGGGTGTGATAATATAATAATAATAATATAGCCAGGGTGTGATAATATAATAATATATAGCCAGGGTGTGATAATATAATACTGTAACATAGCGCCGCACTGTACATGCTGGAGCCCTGGGAGAGGACCATCTTCAGTATCCTTAATAATATAATAATAATATATAGCCAGGGTGTGATAATATAATACTGTAACATAGAGCCGCACTGTACATGCTGGAGCCCTGGGAAAGGACCATCTTCAGTATCCTTTCACAATAACCATTATCATACTACTGTCACAGAGCGACAGGGAATAATATTATAATATAATACTGTAACATAGAGCCAGGGTGTGATATTATAATCTCATATAGCCAAGGTGTGATATTATAATGTCATATAGAATATAGCCAAGGTGTACACAGGCTGTGTGCTCTGATATAGTTTAATTATAGCCAGGGTGTACACAGGTACATATAATATAATGTAATATAGCAGTCAGGGAGCCACAGCTGGCAGACTCTTATTAACTTCTAGTTATTTATTGATTTATTCATTACTTGTGTATTGGGGGCACTTTTTTTTTTTATACTAGAGATGCCAGCAGCCAAAAATAATATCCCAATTTTTTCTAGAACTGGGAAAGCATCATGGGAGTTGTAGTTCTAGACAACTGGGCATCTACATTTGGTCTCCCCTGATTTACACAACACAATTTAACACTTGTACTGTACAGTGTCTTGCTCAACACCGCATGTTATGTGCTCATAGGGTGATTCTCATACTACAGGGTAGGTAGGGGTTTAATCACTGAACATATATACTTAAAACATTTAGTGTAAAATAGCCAAGCTTAATATTGGTTTATTTTGCTTAAAGGGTTCTTTGCTAAAGTTTAGTTTTCACGTTGTAGGCTAACATAAATGAATTGGAAAATTCAGCAGTGTGGTTTTTTTTTTGTTTCCCAGCTGTGTACACTTTAGTGAATAGCTGTGAAATTGACTAAAATTAGTCTCATTCTATTGGTTTAGTAAGTCTATGGAATGAAATATTTTTACATGAGATAGCTATACGTTAACACCCAACTTTCTAGCCCTGCTGTTTTAGTGTAGAGCACATTTCATAAAAGTATGACCTTTGCACTTAAGTGCCATATAATAAGAATATTGTGACTCTTACCAACTCGTCAATATTCAAGGTGTTGGCATACTTTAGGAAGCAACTATGTATAACTTTGAGAATCGTTAGATCCGTACTGTGTGTTTACTTGGTTTAATGTAAATATACTGAATGCAAACAGTACTTCTTTTTTTAATTTTTAGTGAAGAATTTGTGAGACTTATAGGATTCATAATTTGTAAATTGAATATTTTCTAATGGAAATGAACTGCTATATATTTGTTATCTAATAAGACCTGCCTTATTTTACGTTGAATTCTGCTGTCATTCATTTTTCTCTATGATTTTCATTTTTAAACAATTATTTATACTATTATTGTGTGATACATGTTGTGCAAGCAATCCACAAAAGGAAATGATCTGTTCTTGAACAGGAAATAATGTGTAGATTTAGGTATTGGTTATCAATATCTGATTGTAGGTTGACTTGATTCTTGCACACTGCAAGTGCAGTCAATTGGACAGTAATCCCCCAAACTTTTGGTTACTGTGGGGAATGTAAGACATTAAAATCTTCTCACATCTAATACAATTGCACCAATATTTTATTTTCCATTTGGTCTGTACTTTCAACGAAACAAAATGCCAATGCCAGAGGGAAACTATGGATTGCCTAACAGTCAGTGCAGGCTAGAATTTAGGGAGTGTTGGAGAGACCTTTCGCTAACTGTAAAACAGAAAAAAATGTGGAAAAGGTAATTATGAGGTCACTCAATAGAAAATGGTAAAATCTAGGGCCATATAGCTGAATCTGAAATATTCTCCAACCATTATATTTCCATGCTGGCTATTAGTCCCTTGTTTAGGGACCTCATAATAACCCTTACCACTTTTTTTATGGTGTACTGACCGAAACGTCTCTCCAACACTCCCTTAATTGCAGCCTGTTTAAGCATGTTGTGTAATCTATAGTTTCACTCTGGGTTCAGCACGCCTATTTATTTATTTGGCAATGTCAGTATTCAACTGCAAAGTGTTTATCCTAAATATTCATTGAATCCAGAGGAGACTGGTGAACTGTGATTTAAAGTGTACTTATCATTGCGACTGATTTGGTGTCTCTCTTTAACAATCATACATTTTAATCTATGCAGTGTACCAGCAAATTAATGATTGAATTACTTTTTATAAACATATTTTGGAAAATCTTGTGCTTGAGTGCTCTGTCATTGGTCTTAAAATGAAAACTTCAGTCTGCTTGGAACTGTCACATGCATAGCTAACCCCCAACACAAAATATGTGGTGGCATGCAACAGCCCTTACCATGTGTAGGAAGCTACTCACGTTATTTGGTATGAGGTTGCTGGGTGTTGACTTGGTGGGTTTTGTTATGAGTGTAGTATTCTCCTATTTGTTGCCAACCAATTGCCTGTCATAAATATATGCTTCACAATCATTGTTCACTATCAGCGGTCAATCAAAAGAACTGTAAAATGCAATTATTATTGCAAGTTCCAGTCTGCTGCTGAAGGACAACATTCTTGCTGTATATTGGCACATGCTTAATACAAATCTGCATGTTAAATGAAAGTTTACCAGTATTTGGAGTGTCTTTATGCACCTCATATAAGAGTACAAATTGCAATGAAAATCTTTAAATTTGCAAAAATGCATTGATTAGATATTTACCTACCTGAATCATATCATTTTAAAACAAGCCCATTATGTATGTATTCCCTAGCCCCTAAAATCCAGTGATGTCAGCTGCTGTCTTGAAATTACTTGAAGTTGACTTTTTTTTTAACTCCAAATGACATGATTAACGAATCCAAAAATCAGACACCACTTATTTTGGGGGGAGGGGGAACCCTGACACCAGGCATTAAAGGGACACCCCAGGCACCCAGACCACTTCTGCCCATTGGAGAGGTCTGGGTGCCAACTCCCACTACCCTGGGAGTGGTCTGGGTGTGTGGGCGGACCCTAAACCAGAGCCGAGGGACATCGGCGCTGGTCTCAGGTAAGTCACTGAAGGGGTTCTAACCCCTTCAGCAACATGGGATGGGCGGTGGGAGGGAGAGGGGACCTGCAGTGCCAGGAAAACTATTTGTTTTCCTGGCACTGGAGTGTCCCTTTAAGAGGGCAGCAGATTCAGATGCAACATGCTTAGAAATCACTGCAGTGCATGCTACCCTGCCACTTTCATATATACAAATTTGCATTAGTAAGTGCCAAACACCCCTTCCCCTCTGGGAGGGGTTATACAGCCAGTTTGAGAGCTCTCTGTCACTTTCTGTGTGATCTTGCAGTTTGTGTAGTGTGAGTCACGTGACTTCATTCCAAACATACAACCAGACTGAATTGATAGCTGATAGACCATTTTAATATCAGGAAATCCCTTAAATTGGACAGCTACTTCCTCAGAGTAAGCAAGAAGGCTTTAGAATTATAATACGCTTTAGATTTTGCCATTTATTGATTCTAAACAAGTAAAAGGTGAAGTAGCCTCATTGCAGGGGTATGGGCACGCTGGGCTCTGGACGTGTATGCGTGTATATGGTATGTGTTGCTAAGTAGTATTACAATAGTTACATTGTGCCATAAGTAGATAATTATGTATTCTTATACATGATTGCATTAGTTGTGTATGACAAGTTAGTGTAGTTGCATTTGACACATGGAGGGAACAAACCACATTGTTCTTGAAATCGGAAAGTAAAATATCAGCCCTGCAATTAAGGCAAGCAGATGGTTTTGAGAAATTCTCTGGCTTTTTTTTTATTTTTATTTTTTACTTTTTTTAGCCAATTTGGATGTCACTTCTCTACAAATCAGAGCATAGTGAACAAACAATTGTATAATTTAAATGAAAGCTTGAACATTGATTCCGATATATTTATATTTTGTTGGCTCGATCTTACAGTTGTGCATTTTTTTAATAGCCTGTCTAGCCATATAAATGTAATGGGATGAATTAAACTGGGAAAGTTACATCCACAACCTTGCTTACCAGCAAAGCGATCTTAGAATAATATTCCACGTTTATTACTGTAGTTTCCATGCTACAACATGGTGGGGACAAGTGTCATTTTAATGCTTCAGGGAACAAGAAATAAAAGGGGAATATATAGCCATGACTACTTCCTAGTTTGTAGTCTGGATCATAAATACTCAAAGTACCATCACTACTTGTGTTTCTTGTATAGTTTATGGTATATTGTTTTATTAAACATTATAGCATTAGGAAGACCCCCACTGCCGGGGTTAAAAGGGGATTTAACTTGCCTTTTCGCCATCGCAGCATCAAGGCAGTTGGCTTGTGGTCAATGATCTCATCCAATCCAGTGCTTTCCCATAGAAAAGCATTGAGAGGCTAGTGTACTGCCCCAATCCTATGTCTATCTGACCATCAGATTGAAATAGTGGACTCCACTATTTAGCGGAAGTGGCTGTCGGTATGAAGACGAAGTGGTCTTGGTGCCCCATGGAGTCCCTTTATAGTTTCATCAATCGACATGAGCATTGTTATATGACCACCCTCCATTCTTTAAAGTTCGAGGGCAAACCTAGCTTCCCCCTTTCTTTTCAAGGTCTGGGATTGTTTGTTTATGCTGAACAATACGTAATCTGAGTGACTTTGCTTTGGGGTGCTTATATAGCATGTAAGTGTGGAAATAGAAGTTCCTGCATAGGGATTTAGTATGGGGTATGTAAGGTTCTCTCATTGGAAAGATCAAGGTTAGCGGAGACAGCTGAAATGTTTACTGGGCTTTGGTGCAGTAATGTTTTTAATGTTCTCTGCATGACTTTCACATGTGATGTCTTTGAATTCTAAAACGAAAAAAGAGAACCCTGTTTATATAACATTGAGCTTTTGAGAGGCCACAGGATCTGTCATCCTGAATAACCGGATTAGTCCAACACATACTCCCTCCTGATTTACTGACACACAAAAAACAAAAGATACACATTTATTTCATTACTGTGCACTTGGTAAGCACACAGGTTGTTAGAAATATAAATGTCCAAATGCACGCTGTTTCCCCATTACAATTAGCAAGGCTTTTTTTTTTGTCTGCTGGATGTACAATGGTATATAAATCTGTTTATATTTTGACATGTTCAATCACTCCTGAATTTCACTGAGAATTTCCTGTAGTGTTTGTATAACTCTTGGTTACCATGCAGGGTCAGCTCTGTCATCCTTCTGTTGGGAGTCCTGCAAACTAAACATTTGCATCCGGCTTCGACCTTGGTGCAGAGTGAAGGGATGTCATGTAATAATGCTCAGAGCATATTTTGCTTCAGTCCAAAAGTTTGCAGAATCGTTGTTAATCTGGCTTCCTTCTCCTTCCTTGCATTTCATAATTACTGGTCCTCTGTATCTGTCAGTATATGGGATTTGGGAAGTTATTTCAAAATGCTGCTTTGGTTTAAGTGTATAAATCACTGTAAAATGACATTTTTGAAGCAGTCCGCTGAATGTTATAACTGGACTAGTGCACAAATCCTTTTCACCTGTGATTAACAAGTCGAATTCCTGTTATTTTGTGTCTGAACAAATCAGTCCGTCACGTAAATTTGTTTGGGAGAAGATTAACAGCAATTTGGTTAATTTGTAGCTGGTTTAAAAGATTTGTGCACAAGACTACTGAACTTTATTGAAATATTTACTGGGGTGAGGTCTGCTGTTGCAGGAAAATAAAACGTGATTACACAGCATTTGAGTTTCACTGTAATTGCCTTGGCATCTGCAGAAGCTGTCCCAAAAAAATAAACATGGATCAATTTGTATTCTGTTTTGGATCTGTTTGTAGTTGTACTTTTTTAGTACGCAGTTGTTAGAATTCCTTAACCCTTTATACCTCAGATTCCATGCTTATATCCATCATGGGAATGGCCTTGTACACTGGATATATATTCATGCCTCAGCATATACTGGCTATCTTGCATTACTTTGAGATCGTTCAGTGACCAAGGGGGAGAGCCCTGCTCAGCAAGGGCTGTGAGAGAAGCACGGTTCATTTCTCTCAGAGGGCATACCTGGCACTGGAGCTGGACGCTGGCATCGTGTTTGAAACGTGAACATCCAGTCTTGGAACGATGTATGATCAGTGAACTTCCACGGGACATCTGAAGCTCTGTGTTAACATTTGTAGTCAGAAGGGTCTGCAAAACAATGCAGGGCTCTCCTTTACAAGTGTTGGTGTTATTTTCTTGTTTGTAATATGAATTTTAATATTGCACTGTAAATGGCTTTATTTTTTTATTTTAATGTTCAGCTAATTCCAATGTGTATATATATCTTGTCAAGCTTTGTAGCTGTGACTGCTTTTGTACACAAATAAGAGTGCACTTGGCTTTTTTGTATTGTGTGACTGCAACACTTTTCACTATTGCTCTAACATAATTTTAATTGCTTTAAACCGATTTGCTGCTGGTCCAATAAAAGAAAAAGCAAATCAATAAATGCAGTTACCCCACATTAACTGTTTTTGTGTTTTGATATGTGTATTTAACAAAGAACAAGAATTGAGGAATCCAAAGATAATTCAGTCTATTTTTTTAGTGTGTAGAGTGTTGACTATTTTACTGTAGGTGAAGTTAATGTTTTTGACAATTTAAATTTTTTTTTCATTTTCTTTGTCTTTATTAACCGTGCCTTTTAAAGGGTTATTCCAACCACCATGACCACTTCAGCTTTTATAAATGGTCATGGAAGTAGGAATATGTGTATGCAGCGTTTCTGCTTGATAGCTGAGCTTCAGGCACACGTGTCTCTATTCAGAGATACCTATTGTAAAAATTGTCTGATGTACGCACACACTGGCGACAGATGTAATTATCTTTCACCCTTGCAGACAGTGCAGCCTCTTCCCTACCCAGAAGCTAGTGGAATGCATTTTTCATTAGCTCTACTTTAACTCGTCACTCTCAGCCAGTGAGCTAAACCTTGCAATGCTGGATTTGGCTTAGTGGAGAGAGCCTTCAGCTCTTGTGGAGTAGGTGACTGGTGCCCAGTGAATCACAGGTAAGCTGGCAAACTGTTTTATGGCTCACAACATTCCTAGCTCATTAACTACTTCCATGTACAGGCTGCAATGATTACTACTGGAGAAAGATTCATTGAAACCCTTTCTGTGCCCATTAACATTGAAAGTATCCGTGTCTTCCTGGAATGGTGAGAAGTCATCACAAATATGAAACCTAGAGTTTGGCACAAAAACCCCTTTGGTGTTTTAAACGGACACTTATCTCGTTGAATTGGTTATAGTGTCTAGATTTCTCTGGCATTGTCCCTGCATTCAGTTTGAAACCTTTTTTTTTTTTTTAAACATGAACTGATGTGGTTTTACTGCATTTGCCCAGAAAACATCTCTAAACAGTGTGGTACACAGTTTCTCCCTAACAAGTTAACTTTTTATTATATTAAACCTAGTCTCTAACCAGTCATTGTTTTAATTAAACAGTTACAATTGATTTTCTTGTTAGTTTACATGCATTTCGTCTTTGGACTAGCTGGTGTAATAGCGCAGAATGCAGTTATTAAAAACACTCAGTTGATGTAACTGTGAGTCAAAACAACACAATGGGTGTAAATGTATGTCACACAAAAAGCCTGGTGATCAGGAAAAAAATAATAAAGGTTTTCTGCAGACTAGATATAGGGTGCAGGAAACTAAAAAGAACCGTTACCTTAGGTTATAATGTGACTTAATGCTACAAACATCAGCTCACGTTTTTGGTCCTTTTGAGTGACAAAGGAGACCTACGAGTGCATGGTCAATCTAAGCATCGCACAACTCCTCAGGCACTTAAAAAGTTTAAGCAAATGTCGGTCATGATTTCATGGTTAATTCTGGATTGCCTAGTGTTGTGACTTAGATGATGATGATCAGATCACATTTTATGACCAATTTGTGCAGAAATCCATATCATTCCAAAGGGTTCACATACTTTTTCTTGCAACTGTAACTAGGTTAATTTATAAAAGTACCCTCTTTAATCTGTATTTTTTTGTAAAATGAAAGAGGACACACTGTTCACACATTAAGCAGTTTAGAAGTGTGAATGGTCCTTTAACACTATGTATGGGACACTCCCTGGCCCTTACTGGAGGTATGGTAGAGATTAAACACTAATATTTTGTACCAGCAACGAGCACTGTGGTAGTTTGACATTCTTAGCCAATCACAGCAGCTTACTGCTGCTCAGCACAAAGGGATTGGGCTGCTGGGGGAACCCTCGTTCAGCATTAAAATATTAATAAACAGTTTAACTCTGAATAGAAGGATTGTGCCAGGGGAGCTCAGACACCGTAACCTGCAGTGTCACATTAACTGTCTGCACATTACAACTTACATTATGCTTTATGAAAAATATTGGAGCCCGAGGACTTTTATTTGTATAGGTATTGTTTGTGCGAGGGTAAGGCTTTTGCATTCCTGTGAGAGCGAAAATAGCTCAGAAGGATAGCAGTAATGGGATTTTCCCTTTTAACCTGATACCTGTAATCATCACTGAATTGTTGAAAACTGAAATGTATAAGAGCTTGGTTATTTTAGGCTAAAGTGTACACTTTATGTAATACACATCTGTATTCTTAATAAGAAGAAATCGGGTAAGTCCCTGATAAGGTGAATTTCGCATTCAACCTCTGTATCAGGACTGCTTGCTTTCTTGTGACGTCGGAGCCAATCATTTAATTGTAACCAAAGCTACTGCCTTCTGTATTAAAAACATACTTGCCTGGTGGTATTCTTTTTTTGCTAGCAAGTTTATAGGAGGCCAAAACATTATCTTCGTTCATATGACACCTGACGTTTTAAACATTGTTACCAGAACTGCAATCTAGTAATCCGTATTCATTTAAAAAATAAAACTAAAAATTGCTGAATTTAATCTGGAAAATGACAAAAATTAGGATGGATCCCATTCCCAAAAGATCACCGCAATGGCCTCTGTCATGTCCAGCTCAGAATGTAAAACATGCAGTGATATTTTGCAGCAGTAACAAGAAATTAAACTGTCGTATTAACTTAATTCTCTTCAATTCCAGGAAATTGAGTAAGTGAGGTGTGAACACGACCTTAACTGAAATTACTGACCGAGAGTTATCCTCCCCCACGTGCTTTCTGTGTACTGCATGATGTAAGTTGGGTGTAAAATAAAGGATGAGTGAAACAGGATTTGATTTCATCGTAAAAAAACAAACAAATATATACCAACCAGAGCTGCACTGTTCTGGCTATAGATCAGCAAACCTAGACCCACTCCCACAGTACTACCTTAAGAACCACTAATGGTTTTTACTGTCGTTCTAGCAAAGACTGGGTAGTTTAAAATTATGTTCTGCATGCATAAGGTTTTATCCCTGTTTAATACACACACACATAATATTGACCTAATGGAAGGTGAGCTGTACAACAGGACACAATTAAAATGGTGGCACTGAGGTGCAAGAGGTTCAGGTAAGTAATATCTGCTTATGGAAAGAAAAAGTTACCTGCGCTCTCTCCTAAATCCGTATGTATATCTAAACAAATGGAGGTTATTTAGTTACTTCAATGGCCATTGCAGGGAATGCCGTCTGCCTGCTAATGGCCATTGGGGTAACTTAATAACCTCCATTTGTTTAAATATACATAGGCATTTGGGAGAGAGCGCAGGTAACTTTTTCCCTTTGGTTTTTACTGTATGTATTGGGGTTGATGTGTATTAGGGTCGTTGCTGACTCCCAGGTGTGATGGGAGTTTGAGCGCAGGACTTGGTTTTTTTTGTATTTAATATCTGCTTTTCACGTCTCGTCTCCATGCAGCAAGTCAGGGGAAAGCAACTTTCGGCACTCCCAATGTTGTGGACTACATTTCCCTTGGTGCTTTGCCAGCATTATGGCTGTAAGAGTATTATGGGAGATCAAGTCCACAACACCTGGAGTGCCGAAGGTTGCTTCCCCCTGGTGTAAGTAAACATGTCACCTTGTAGGTCGTTTGCAAAATATCACACTGACGCTTTAAGAATTCTATAACATTCCACGCTGCTTAGGATTACGTGAAGACCCTGAACTGCCAACTATTCATACTAAATAAACCGGACATGCCACATTCATTTAAGATTTTTATGAGCGAATTGTGATTACAGCAAAGTACACTTGCTTTTTAAGGGTTAAACACACATTCTGAGTATTTGCCTTAGTTTATTAAGTGTTTTTAGTTTATCCTAGCAGCAGAAACTATAGCAACCAAAAACTGAATTCTTTTTTTATTTTTTATATAAATGGAAGCATTTACCTGATACCAGCATAAAAACATGGAATGTCCTGTAAATGGCATTGTATACAAAGTATTTATTTTTCATGGATTGGGCGGGCTTTAGTAACAATATATACACATACACACATTTCCACCATCCCTCCCTCTCTTCAAAATCGTTAAATTTGAATGCTACACTTTTTTTTATTTTTTATTTTTATTGTTCTTTATTTTTATTGTGCATACATTCACAAACAGGCTTGTAGCACCACGACAGCGAATACAAGCTTTACTTTGGTATACAATATCATGGCAGAGTTGTCAGCACATTTAATTTTGTAAAATGTCACGCTTGGAGTACTAGAGTAGCATTTATATAGATTAATTAGACTATACAGACATAAGTAGATTGTCGTTACGTCGTTACGTCGTTAGTGGATTTACTGACTGTTTAAGCTAACATCAGCTACATACTAGTGACTGCAGTAAATAAGTATGCATGTTCTATCCCCCTAAATACACCATTACCATTCACCTAGTTGATAACTGCTAGTGAAAAAGTTTTGCATGCTAGTTATTGAGCTCTTTTCTTAGGCTGACTACAATAATGAGTAGACATCTTTCTTAGCTGCCTAAGCTTTCTGAGAGTGGTTGCAGGTTATGCTGGGCTATATTAAACTCTAAAGCAGCCTTAACACTTAGGATTAGACTGTAAAATGTCCACCCCAGGTGGGTTCCATGTCGGCCAGGCGAAGGATCTGTGTGTGCCTGTCAGGAGACCAGTCTTTATTCAGTGTGGATGGTTTTTTTTGGTGCGATAAGCTTAGGTGTCTGCTGCACTATCGGTATTCCTTTGTTAGCTGATCTGTCAGGTGTTTGTCTTGGGCTGGTGAGAGGTCCCAGGCATCATGTCTGCTGTGAGTAATCAGTCTGTGCGTTTCGGCTCCCTCTCGATGCGCTGCTTGGTATGGTAGGGTAATCCAGTATACAGTGCCAGTTCCTTTTTTTTTTTTTGCTCTGCTCATAGGGTCTTAGCACCCACTCCGCCGGTTCTCACTCTGACCGGTTCAGCGGTCTGTTAGTCGGCCACAGGAGAGGTGAGTGCGCCCGACTTTGATCAGGGTCGCTTGCCATGTGGTCTCTGCCATTTTGGAAACGGCCTGTGCGCCGTGCCTTCTCTGCCTCTGCTCCAAGCACCGGCATTGTGGTGTTCTGATGGGTCTCAGGGTGGGGACCGGGATCACCCCCACCGGCCCAGAGGGGGGGGAGGGGGGGTAATGGAGCCGGACCCGCCTAACCCCGGGTTGCTGCCTTGTCGCTGGTGGGCAGGATAGACTGGCAGCGGCCATCTACCTCGCTCACCGCCCGAGCGGTCCACATCGTGTGACTTGGATCGTCCCTCCGAGGGACTAAAACTGCTCAGCAAGCCTCTCCTCGGGACCAGGGTGGCCTCTTGCACCGGTGCACAGCAGACAGTTGTCAGGTATGCGTGAAGCTGGGTTTTTTTTGGGGGGGGGGGGGGGGTTAAAAATTGAGGTTTTTACAGGAGCTACTCCATTGTGCGTCCATTTAGCCTGGCGGTCCAGCCCCGCCCCCCGAATGCTACACTTTTTATTGGTGGTAAGTCATTTAACTGTGCACATTGTGCTACTGGTGGAGGTATCCGTCACTCATTAAATTGTGCACTGTCATTGGCTGCTGGTAAAGAGCAGTGGTTGGTGTAACTGCGTTCCTCCCAAGTGTCCCTGTTTTGGGCCCAAATCCCTCTGTCTCTCTTTTCTAGGAGCTCCATATTGTTGGTGTGTCTGAGTACAAATCAGAGCTCCACCAATAATACTCCCAGTAATGTTTTTGTAAACTACAGTGAGTGTGATTAGGTATCAGTCTGTGTGCAAGCTAACTTGTTCTAAATGGAGTAAATTGCATAAACTGTTATTAATAAGTCACCCAAAATCTCAGAACAGCCTCAAAGTAGGCGTAGCTAGGCAGTGACTGACAGGTCCTTTCACCAATACCAGGTCAGACATGGACAGCCAATAGCTGTCTGGATCCTGCAGGAAGCTGAGGAGAGAGCAGGAAGTACTGGTGGAGGAAGCTGCTGGTGTGCTAGTTATCTCAGAGAGATTGAAAAGGTTAGCTTAAAAACTGAAAGTTACTATGTTTATATTCCTGGATACATTGATTTATGGGGAGGGGGGTGGCTACCGTGTTCATTTAATGTACACTTTTTCCAAATATTATTTTGGGGTCACTTTATACCCTTAACTTAGATTAAACTTGCTCACACAGCCACAGCTAACTCTGGAAATTTTACCCTTATCAAGCACTTTAACTGCTCTCTTCCTACATGGTCCAACCTAGAGGTCTCAATGAATATGTCTCCTTCAATCCTTTTTTTTGCAGTGCATAATGACATTACAAACACACTTCAGGTGCCCCAACAGCAGTCCTCATGCTAATCGTCCCACATAACAATTGGGGTAGTGAGAAAAAACATGCACATTTTTTGTATAAGTACAGGCTAAGCAGTATATGACTAGGTTGACTTTAAAGAGAGAGTTACTAAGCTAAGCGTAGATATGTTAATAAAAGTAGGATGCAATTACACAAGTGTGGGAGACAACCTTTAGGCTGATCATGCATGTCTAAGCGGTAGGTTGTGGTTAGCTTGTCTACGGAAAAAGTATCATACAGATAGGCTAGTATTCCTAATATAATATCTCATAGGTTAGACTCATGTCGTTGCTAGCTATTGCTAAAGATCATAACTGGCACAAAATTAAACATATCTAGGATAACGAGTTTAGCCACTGGATTCAGCACTCCATGCTATTACACATGTATTAAGAGTAGTGTGGGGAAAACATGAAAAATAAACAATAAAAGGAGAATATATCTCAGGTCGCTCGGGGAGTATTGCACCAGGCAAATGGTGTCTGTCAGCCTATAATCGAGCCTTTCATGTTCTGTGGGCCCATCACTCCGATCATCTGATCCCTGTAGGTGGCAAGGTTGGTGCTAAACGAGGAGAAAGTCAATGGACCGCATCGGTTATCCAGAGCTGGGTTTCCCTCCAGCCCCGAGCCGTTGAGAGTGCAAGCACCCACATTCCATGGTGCCAAGTCTTTCCCCTGTTTGGGGTCGTCGGAGGATCTTGATGTTATTGTCCGCTTTCTGCGGGAGATATTCGGCCACATGGTCAGTGCATTGAGGCAATACCTCGGAGTGCTCTCGGCCCAGGTAGGATAATTGCAGGGTGGGTTATCGCTTGCTGGGTCATTTTACACCGAGGGAGACTGCTCCTCTCCAGCAGGGTGCATCTCTGCCCTTTCTCCTTTGGGTGGCATCCCAGGCAGCCCCCTGCGGCTGATTCCCCCACCCCCTCCATCCATGTAATTAAAAAAATAATTATATACTGGTTTAACCCCTTAAGGACCAAACTTCTGGAATAAAAGGGAATCATGACATGTCACATGTCATGTGTCCTTAAGGGGTTAAATTTGTTCTAACTGTACTTTGATATTAATATGCATATATATTTAAATCAAAATACATTTAGAATGACTTTATAAATACATACATCCTAAATCTCAAGACCTAAAAGAAAGTGTGGCGGAACCAGCCACCTACTTGGATTATTTACCCTTATTTTGGATTGTTTCAGTAATTGAAGTCCACCGAACGGATTCTAATTGTGGTGTTCGTATACCGAACAACTCCCAAATAATTGGACCACGCAAGGGAGTCGTATGTTGCCAATTGACCCTTTTGACCCACTTAACACTTCAAAACCACAACATTCTAAGCGGTCGGCTGGGTGGTCGCCATTCGTGTGGATGAACACGAGGTGGCGGCCATCTTGTTCCTGTGAACGCGTATAGCGGTGTTTGGTCGCTTATGGGGCTTACATTGGGGCGGAATTGCAGCAGGATTTGTCCTACCTGGTTAACTTGGAGTGCGAGAGACCAAAGATGGTCGACTACACTGAGACATACTCAGAAATCTCGGTCGACATGTCCCCAGACGAGGAAGCAGAGACTCACCCTGTAGCCTTAAAGCCTGCACCGCGGCACAGTGAACGAGACAACTCCCCGGTGACTACCGCAGTGTTGAAGACACTTCTGGCAGACCTCCAGAAGAGTATCCTGACGGACGTTGCACTAATCCGTACCGACCTACAAGGCCTGACAGGCACAATAGCGGTGCTAGAGACTGCATCCAGCGACCAAGCACAACAGAAACGGACGTTGCAAAAGGCAGTCCAGGGGCTCCAACAGCATAGTGAGCAGACCAAACGCCGCTTCACCGCCATCGAAGAATGGAGGTGGAAAAACAACCTCAAAATGCATCTCTGAAGAGGTCCCAACCGCGGAGATCCCGCATTTCCTGAGGCGCCTACTAGGCAACATACTCGCCCCAAGACAAGGTAAAATGGTGGGAATCGATGGGTTCTTCCGAGTGCCAAAGTCCCCCAGAGCACCAGACAACATACCTAGAGACTTGATCCTCCGGTTGCAGAACGGCAAAGACGGGGCAGCAGTGCTGGCAGCTGTAAGGGACCACACACCATACGCATTTGAAGATACGTCTCTCGCATTTTTCCCAGAGCATGCTAGCCTGGCAAAGAACACTCCGACCATTCACCACTCTCTTGAGGCAGCAACAAGTACTGTACCAATGGCAGCCAACCCGCGCCCTACAGATCCAGCAGGGAGGAACTAAACACCTGATCCACAACCTCGCGGAAGCAGTAGCCCTCCTACCTGCTCTCAACCTGCCTTCAGACGCTCTGACACCAACCGGGAATGGGGCAGTGGCCTTTACACCACACAGTGGAACCCAGATATACCAATGGGAGTGTTGAGTTTCATCCCTCCTCCCCAGCAGCTATGCCTGTCATCAGGAGACTGTACCACCTACTTCTCAACTAGCCTCTGTCACATTGTCTGTCTCTCTGTCACAGGTCTCACTGTGCCATCCAGACAGCCAGGCATAGTTGCACCAGAAGTGCCCAACAGGGGATGTGGATTTGAACCTGGGGCCTACTGCATCCTAGGCCTGAGTTCCTTCCTCTGAGCCACTTCTGAACTTTGGTTCTAACCATGTTTTCCTGACATTGCCTGCAGCACTAGGGGGCTGGACATCACCAGTGGCTCCTACCTGTCCATCTAAGTTCACCTGAGGCAGTTCACTCATTGGCTGGGCATAAAACACTGCCCCTCCCTGAGAACATTGTCAGTTTGTTGTTTTATGTATCCTGTTTCCTGAGATTGACTTGGCTTGTGACCCTTTCTTCTTGGAATATTCATTATTGCCTGTTCGCTGCCTGCCCTGACTTTTGGAACTGTGTCTGACTACTCTTCTGGATTTGCCCTTGTCTGTTTCATAGTACGCGGTTACTGTTCATGCCTAAGTCCCCGTGCACAGATTCACAGACCAGGTAGCTTCTGATCTGGTTACCATGGGCTGTGTTTATCTGCAAGGGTGAGCACAAATCTCTGCCTACTGGACTCCCAACTAAGGTAAGCCGTGACATAATGAACTGACCATCGGGGGCGTGGCCTGACACGGAGCTGAATGGACGTGCACTGATTCAGCTCCCTGAACATCGAGGTGCAATCCAACGCCATCGGAGGCTCGGAGGAAGCATGGGGAACCCCAAAAAAACCGCCAATGCTCAGGGGGCATCCAGCAAGACGCCTACCGTGAAATCCAGCACTTTTACACGGTATTTCAAGGACGCGACGGCCCGCGAGGACGAGGCCGTAAATTCCAATATGGCGGCGGAATCGGCACCATCAAGCCCAGCACCGTCAGAGGGCTCATGCGGTACCCTCACACAGGCAATTGATCCTGACATAAAAGATATGCTGAGGAACCTGCCTTCCAAAGCAGACATGGCCAATATGATTGGCAGATTAGAAGCAGCTCTGCAATCTAAAATCGACGCCATGGGCACAGACATACAACAAGTAAGTCTTAAAGTTATAGACTTAGAAGAAGAAAAGGATGTAATGCAGGCCCAGATTGTAAATAATGCCTCCACATTAGACTCACAGGCTCTGACTCTGTCCTCTATGCAGAAGCAACTAGATGATTTAGACAATAGGAGCAGGAGAAATAACCTGAGAATAAGAGGCCTTCCTGAAATGCAGGGGGAAGATTTGATGGCTACTTTGAGAGAATTATTTAATCTTATACTGGGGGACCCTGTGGATAACCCAATATTAATGGACAGAGCTCACAGATCACTACGCCCTAGAGGAGTGGCAGTTGAAGCCCCAAGGGATGTAATCTGCAGGCTCCATTACTTCTCAGTGAAGGACACCATTCTCAGGGCCCTAAGAGAAACATCCCAACCTCTTATGTACCGCGAAAATCACATACAAATTTTCCCAGACCTATCATGGTTCACGCTACAAGCGAGACGAGCACTAAAGCCGATCACGGAGCTATTACGCAACCGCAACATGAAATATAGGTGGGGATACCCATTCGCACTGATCGTTCATCACAAAGGAGTGATGCATTCCATAGCTACACATCTGGATGTAAAACCATTCCTGAGAGATCTGGAATTGCCAAACACCAACATCCCAGATTGGTATGCACCTCAACCAAACCAAGATCCTTCTATACTACCCCAACGACAAAAATGGACTACCCCTGCCAAGAAAAGGAAGACTGACCAAAGACCCTTCTCTCCCAGGAGCAGAATGGCGGGGAACCAAAGGGAAGATCCCCGCTAGGCTTCCCACCCTGCACCCTGGGCTACTCTGTCTGCGGCAACATGACTGACTGGTGGAGAGCTGGTACTGGTACAATTATCTGGACATAGCCACAGTGACCATGCATTGAGCATGAAGGATACAACGTCACACGAGACCTTCGCGATTTTCACGATCCTCCTATCACTGGGAAATTCAACTGGCGCAAGAGACCTATCCTTATATTTGTTGCTTATAGATATGGGACCTCCAAGCCACTCAAGATTTACCCAGGAACATTTGACAAGACAAGGCGCAAGTCCACACCAACGGTCGATGGGAACTACGCCTCCCGGGCTGCGCATCCCTTATACCCAGGACCAGGGAATCAGCGCTTGGGACGAACTGGCGCAGCCCCGTGAGGCGACAACTGATTATAAGGTCGGATATTATAGAACATGGAGAAAAAAAAAGTGCACTGTAGGCCTTGAGATTGATGTTACTAGTATAGTTTACTCTTGACCCCGACACTACGGGCAGAAATACCAGTATAGAAATACATTGTTGTCTAGCCAGAGACGGATAGCATGGGGGATAGAAATAAGTACCAAATGTGTTCAACCTCTCCCCTGGGTTCCCTTCTTCCTTCCTATCTTTCTCATCCTCTCCCCTCCCTCCTTTCTTTCCACCCCCCCTCAGCCAGAGCCTCCTACAAATTATACACACAGAATAATAGGATTGCAAGCCTCGGGTTCTAGTCAAACACCACACCCGCATAATTACGGTTCTGCCTCTTGCACGGGGACAGAATACGGAACACGAGAGAATAACTTTGAGTGTGTTATTCAGGATTACCTATAGTAAGTCCTCTAGATACGAGAGGACAAGTGTCTGGGGACCCTCGTGGATCCTCATCAGTTCGTTATTTTTGATATTATAATTTGATATTCTGTTTATATTGTTGCTGTTACTGTATAACTGTTGATTAACAAGTGAAAAGCAAAACCCCCAATAATTGGGAACAAGATGACAGGTAGGGATTCTCAGACAGGGATTTCACATACTGGACCCACTAATCCTCCAATTCACGCACCCAACACAGAACAACCACTGACCCTTCGTTTACACTCCCAGAACGCCAAGGGACTGAATACCCCAGAAAAAAGATCACTCACACTCACAGATTTCCAGAGATATCACGCAGATATCGTTTTTATACAAGAAACACATTTTCGCAAGAACCAGGCACCCTCACTTAGAAACCGCAAATACCCCACGGGTTATTTCAGTCACTATTCTGCGGCTAAAGCAAGGGGAGTGGCGATTTTACTAGAGAGACAAGTTTCGTTCACACTTACAGGACAACTAAATGATGACGCAGGCAGATACATTTTCATTAAAGGAAAATTAGGCAACACCACTATCACGCTAGCGAACCTCTATCTACCTAATAAAAAACAAAGTGTGGTCCTAAGAAAAATGCTCCACAAACTGTGGGACTTTAAGGAAGGTCTATTGGTTGTGGGGGGGGACCTGAACATCTTACTGGACGGCCAACTAGACACATCCGCAACATCTAGCGCGTACCTAGAGCCCACTCGTAGCCGAATACTCGATATCCTACATGAGACTAGATTGTATGACAGTTGGAGGGCACTACATCCCACTGGTAGAGATTACTCATTCTACTCCACAACTTCCGGCACATATACTAGAATAGACATGTTACTCCTACCCCATGCTTACCTCAATTTGATAAATTCAGCATCATATGGTCCTATCACATGGTCAGACCATGCTCCACTGACCCTAGATATAACGATACCCTCACTAAACAGGGCCGCCCCACAATGGAAACTGAATGATCTTCTCCTAAATAAAGAGGAGGTCATAGAACAAATTACAACAAGTGCGCAGAGATACTTTGAAACCAATTCAAGCCGGGACACTAGGCCGGATGTGATATGGGAAGCTCACAAATGCGTCCTCAGGGGAGAAATCATTAAAATAGCCTCAGCCCAGAAAAAGCTTAGGGAGGCCAATATAACATCTTTAACCCGGGATATAAGAAACCTAGAGCTCAATCACAGTAAGGACACTACGATACAAGCTTACAACAATTTACTAGCTAAGAGGGCGGAACTCAAAACCATCCTCAACCTACAGGCTATCAGATCTGTGCAGAGGACCAAACACACATATTTTACAAAAGGGGGCAAATGTGGTAAACTACTCGCGCAATCTCTACAACAACAAAGACAATCAACATTCATATCACACATTAAGCAACCAGATGGCTCAGTGACACAATTAATGCCAAAAATCATGTCAGCTTGACACACTTATTATTCCTCCCTTTATAATATAAGGGACACGGTGCCCCGTAGGGACAAGATAAGGGACTTTCTAGCTAGCCGAATAAATACTACTATCCCGCGCAACTGGGCGGAATTTCTAGACAAACCCATCACTATGGTAGAATTCCATGATGTAGTTAAACAACTCCCACTAGGAAAGAGTCCCGGGCCAGATGGCTTTACAGGCAAATACTATAAGGTTACACAACAAATCCTAGCAGAACCCTTTGTGCGAGCATTTAACTCTACACAAAACCTGAGTCAGGCACCACAAGAGACATTAAATGCCACTATAACACTACTACCCAAACCAGGCAAAGACCTTACAAACTGTGGGAGCTATAGACCAATTTCCCTAATGAATGTAGATCTAAAACTTTTCACCAAAATCCTGGCCAACCGACTGAAACCGCTTCTCCCTGACCTGATACACCAAGACCAAGCAGGGTTTGTGCCGGGGAGGGAGGCCAAAAACAATACAACGAAAATTCTCAACATAATGCATTGGGCAAAAGTCAACAAGATTCAGAGTGTACTGCTGGCTATTGATGCGGAAAAGGCATTTGATAGGGTGGATTGGTCCCTCATGACAGCCACGATGGAACATCTGGGCTTCGGACCCAGGTGGCTGAAATGGTCGGGGAGACTATATTCCGCACCAACTGCCCGAATACGCATCAATGGCCAGCTCTCAGAAACGGTATATATTAGGAACGGGGCCAGACAGGGGTGTCCACTCTCCCCATTAATTTTTATCCTCGTGCTGGAACCATTCATTCAGGGAATACGAAATAACCCACATATACACGGCATAACAATAGGAAATATAGATTACAAAGTCTCTGCCTTTGCAGACGACTTGCTATTCACGATCTCTAAACCACTACACTCTATTCCGCATATCCTGGAAGAAATGAGGGCATACAGTGATGTCTCGAACTTCCAAGCAAATCTCACAAAATGTGAGATCCTACCGCTACACACAACCATAGATATAGATAAGCACATACAGAAAAATTTCAATTTTACATGGGCAACGAAATCAATAAAATATCTCGGAATTCACCTACCATACCAACTAAAACACCTCTATGACTTAAACTACACCCCACTCCTGGAAGCCGTCTCCAAAAATTTTAGGGCTTGGAATAAACCATCCTACGGATGGTTTTGTAAAATAAGCATCATAAAAATGATGATATTGCCACGCATCCTCTATACCTTACAAACAGTTCCAAAAAAGCTGCCAGTTAGTTTCTTCTCAGTAATCAAGGGGGCATTGACATCCTTCATCTGGTCACAATCCAAACCTAGATTACCTCTACGACTCTTAACTCAACCACGGGAGAAAGGGGGAATGGGCGTTCCTGACATAGAACAATACTATAAAGCAGTGCACTTGTCTAGGATATATGAGTGGACGAAAGAAAAGCCTTCCCAGCAGTGGGTAAACATAGAGAGGGAACAATGCTTAGCGCCCCTTGAATCATTCCCATGGCACAAACTGAACACCGCACTTATCAAACATAAAAAACACCCACTCATCTTAGCCACACTACAGATATGGTCACAGGTAAATAACTCTACAAATATAGCACCTTATCCATCACCACGATACCACATCACGCGTAACCCATTGATGCCGTCAGGTATCACAGGTAGAACTTACGAGCTTCACCGAGGGGCCGCAAACATAACTCTCCGGGACATGACCAAGGGTAATGCATTACTAACACTGCAAGATCTAACTCTCGGCCGACCCCCCACGAGCATGCAACAATTACATTATGCACAACTGAAACACTTCATGGGGAGCCAGAAGCTACTGCCAGGGGGAAACAGAGAAATGTCAACCTTTGAACAGCAGTGTACAACACATCCGTTAAAAAAGAAATTGTTATCTACCATGTACAAATTACTGTTACACTCAGACAAAACAGACATTCCTGTTTTCGCCACCAAGTGGACGAGAGAAATGAATTTAGACATTTCAGGGGAGCAATGGAAACACATTTTTACCAGAATCCACAATATATCCACTGCGACTTCCAACCAGGAAAGTAACTATAAACGCCTAACCCGCTGGCACTACACGCCCTCCAAACTAAACTAAATGTTCCCAGGAACACAAAACACATGCTGGAGATGCGGGCAAGGGGAGGCTAATCCAACACATATCTGGTGGCAATGTCCTACAATCCAAAAGTTTTGGACCCGCATACACAAACTCACACAGATAATTATGCACAAACAGATACCCTTCACACCGGAACACCTCATATTTATGTTGCCTCTCCAAAATCTCACTAAAACAGAAAACTATTTAACATCCCAACTGTTCATGGCAGCAAACCACCTAATTCCGGTATACTGGAAACAGGAAAAGATCCCTTCTATTAGGGAATGGACCAACAGGGTAGAAAGTACTAGGCAGATGGAAGGTATAACACAAGCATTATCCAAAAACTACATAACTTTCGCGCAAACATGGAAACCTTGGTTGATATACCTAGAAGGGGCGGAATGAGAAGCAAGTTTTAGACAGCAGCACAAATAACAGCACCAGATACGGGGGAATACTTAAAAGTCATGAGTACAGCTCTTAAAAAGCACAAATACGTAGCACCATTCGCACTTTGTATTTAGTAGTATAAAAATTACGCTGAGAGAAACATATCCTATCCAATATTCATCATTAATTGTATAATACCTGTCCGGGTCTCACTATATGTCACCATCTGAATAATGATTATCATTATATATATTGTAAATGTTATGCAACATTACCTGTTAAAGCCACGTTGTTGTGGATTCGGATGTAATTAATGTACACATAATTGCTGTTTTGAAAATTGAAAACCAATAAAAATTAAATATAAAAAAAAAAAATGAACTGACCATCATGGAGTTCGCAGAGATGTGTAAGCTGCTTACCCAGCAATTGTCCAGCCTGGCCCAGACTGTTTTGGAGCTGCAGCGAGAAGTTCAATTTCTTAAAGGAACAGTACGCCCAGAACCTGCTTATCCTGAGCCGTTTGTCATTATGCCTGAGAAATTTGATGGTAGCCGTACATCCTTCCAGCACTTTATGGTGGACTGCGGATTGTTGTTTGCCTTGAAGCCTCGGACTTATGCTACCGCATTCATAATGGTCAGAGCAGATATCAACCTCCTGTCTAGACGGATCAGAACATGGGCACACCAGATGTTGCAGGCTAAGAGTCCTGTCCTTGACATTTGGGATTCTTTCATGACTGCTATGGACTTACAGTGCAAGACCTCTAGGAAGACAGCTGAGTCAAAGCCTGCTTCACATTCCAGAGGATCCCAGATTCCTAGAAACAGGGATAACCAGTACCAACACTACTCCCCTGTGTTGCCTCCTTATGATCCAGTTCCTAGGAAGACTCCAGAGGTATCCTATATTCATCTTGACTCAGAGGAACCTATGGTGACTCATGAAGAAAGAGACCGGAGAAGAAGCCATGTCCTTTGTTTTTACTGGGGAGAAAGGGGTCACTTCATCTCTCATTGCCCAGTTCGCCCACCTAGGCCTTCAGCTCTCCAATTGGCTACCACCTTTTGAGCTCCTATGAGTTCTGCATGCCAGCCAGTAAAACCTCAAAGACGCCGACATGCCTGTCCGTGCTTGGCCTCCTTGAGAAATTCTCCATCTCTTGCTCCAGAGATGTCTGCACCTCCTCCTGAAGACACTCATGTTAAAACTGGTACCATCACCACTTCTTGTCTGCTCAAAAATCTACCTTCGGATTGTACCTATGCCTCTAATAGTACTAATGTCCGCATAAAGGATTTGGAAATGTTTGAAAAGGAATTGCAAGCCGCAAACTCCTGTTTATGTACCTGTTTATGTACCTAAGGAGAAAAGTTCAGAGGATGTGCCTTCTGGAATCAAAATACTCTGATATCAAGGAATGTTAGTCTACGGATGAGGACCTTGACAGTGAGAAATACTACCTCTACAAAGAACCTGTTCTACAAAGAACATGTCTAAACTTTGGTTATAACCTTGTATTCCTGACATTGCCTGCAGCACTAGGGGGCTGGACATCACCAGTGGTTCCTACCTGTCCATCTAAGTTAACCTGAGGCAGTTCACTCATTAGCTGGGCATAAAATACTGCCCCTCCCTGAGAACATTGTCACACATATAAACACATACTGGCACACGCACAGGTACAAACATATACTTTCACAGTTACATACATTGGTGCACACACACAGAGACCCTCACATACACAGATGCGCATACACACAGTTACATACCTCCACATACACAAACACACTGGCATTCATACCAACACACCCAACACACTGATATATACACACACACATCTAAACTTACATGCTGACATACATATAAATCACAATTTATCTATTGCTAACCACCCCCCAGCTTCCATACCTTTTGGTTGCAGGGAGGGGACTTCCTGGGGCTGGCTGACGCTGATGGGAGTCTGAAGTATAGACCCACCTCTCCTCTCTGTGTCGTCCCAGCCCACACTGTCTGTAAACTGTGAGGAAGTAACAGGTCACTTCCTCCCAGAACTCTGTGCACATATTAAAGTGGCCCGGTCGCACTGCCGTAGGGCCGCAGCACCTAACCACGCCCCTGATGAGCGAGATCTGCCTGTCTCTCAGATTTGCCCTAACTGTATACGCTTCCCAATTATTTCCTATGGGTTGGCTAAGATCGTCAAATTTGATCTCAGCCACAAAGGTGGTGTACGGCGGAGCCAGCCACGGCGAGACTGACAAAATACGGGGATTTAGGTAAGTTAAACACTTTTTTAAAGGCAGGAGAGGGGGGCTGGCCACCTAAATGGCACTTTTAAGACTATAGTATTCCTGACACAGTAGTGTTCCTTTAAATGGCTGTTAATACTTCAATAAAGAGGCTTACAGTAGCTATATATTTTCACCTTCCACACTGTGCCCGGAAAATGAAAGTGCTGCAATTAAAGTGGCTTTAATTTCGGTGAGTGGAACTGCCTTGCACCAATCTCAGTTTTAATTCATTTGCAGCTTGAAGGTTAAATTATGGCGATTCCTTTATCTGCTAGTTATAGTTCAACCAAGTATTGCTCAATAAAAACTCAGACACAATTAGTTTAGGTTAGAAAGGTGCATGGCAGAACCTGTTTAATTGCTGTGAATAATAAAACCTCAGCAGGATTAGTGTTATTTTATGGGTGAGGCTGGCAAAATGATGGGACTTTAGAAAGCTGAATTTCAAGGGGTGACTCTGTACAAATATGTCTGATTAATTACTTCCTTATTATCGTGTCCTAAGCAGATGTTGCGTGCTTTGAAGTGCTGGGGTTTCCTCAGGATTTGACATTGATAACACCCATAGCCACATTGCAATGTTATGGCCACAATAGGCTGTTGAAGTTCTTCACAACGCAACAAAATACATTTTCTCCACTAGAGGGCACTAGTTGACAAGAAATGTGAACATTAAGGCCGTGATTTAATGAAAATCTTTTCAAATGATTTAACATTATACATTTTTAAAATTATATATTATAATATATATATATATATTTATTACACAAGATTCAGGGCACTCACCTATCCACTAAACAGCAACTTCAATGTTGACAGATTTTATTAGTTTTTTACGCATGCAGTAACTCACCCTACAAGTAACTCACCCTACAAGTGAAGAAGAGATCTCAGACATACATGACGATCCCGACCCATTGGGTCTTATCAACAGAGTCAGCAGATTTCTGGACTCTCTTGCAGTAATTAGAGGAACTCACCGGGGTGTGCGGGGAGAAACATATAGGAATCCTAAAAGACATTAGCCGGCCAGAGCTCCACCAGGTATTACACTACATTAAATACCAATGACCGGGGGGTCAGACTGCTGACTGAGGCTGTTGGGATGTGGAGTCTGGTTCTGCTGTTCATGCCCCCCTTTTCAGACCCTGTCTTCAAATCTCCCTCCCACATGGCTCGATGTGCAGCTTGGAGGAAGTGAAAAGCGTTCATATCTGCAGCTAGTGCTGGGAGGAAGTGAAAGAGCCCGGCATTGCGGTTAAAGAGAAACGATAGTGCCTATAGCTTTCCCTTCTGTCAAGGCCCCCTCCCACGGCTCTGATGTCCCTCTACGCTGGCTCAGCTCCTCCCCTGCCGGCGGAGGAGACCTAATGCGCATGCGCAGCAACGCTCACACTCGCATTAGGATCTCCCCATAAGAAAACTATTCAATGTTTTCCTATGGGCATTCTGGCAATGCTAGAGGTCCATAGCGTGAGGACATCCAGGGTAGTTTAGGCTACCAAAAGTCGTCTAAGAACCCAAAGTCCATCTAGTGGCTGTCTGATAGCCACTGGGTGCCTACAGTTTCCCTTTAAAGTGCCACAGAGAACAACCGGGCCCCTGATGTCACATGCCAACTAGGTGGCCCAAAGTGCATGGACCACCCTATAGGTCCTTGCCAGCGTGTGGGCCTGGTATACCTGCATCGGCGGTAGTTCCACTGCTAGCTGACATGGATTGTATTTTATGTAATAAGAATGAATGATCAGTTATGTTTCCCTAGTTTTTGTGGGCTTCTTTGTTTTTTTTTGTTTTAAAGGGGAAATACTAACAAAACAGGAAACCCATCATACATATCTTTTATTGGTGGCAGATGACTTATTCCAAACTTTACTATCTGTAGAATTGGAGAAAAAAAAAAGGGTCTGTATGTATGAAGGCACATTCCTTTGGTAAAGTGCTATACGTGGGCAATTACTATGGCAACCACAGTACTCTTTCTGCTGATGTCACTCCAAATTTAGCTCCTGACTCTCCCACCCTCAGCCAACCAGTGCTGCCCAAGCCGTATGAAATTGATATTGATAATACAGAAGTGTAAATTTCTAAGCAGCCATACCTCCAAACATTTCACATGGACAAAATGGGACACTTGCATTTTAGGGGTGTAGCCAGGGGCAGGGCAGGGCTGTTCTGAGAAATTTTAAGTGACTTGCTAATAATTTATGCCACTAACATGTAATTTAGAACAAGAACAGTTTATATAAGTTAAGGGAAGCTTTAGAATATATTGACTGGCATAAACTCTTTAGTGAAAAGAACACTGAGGATAAATAGAACATCTTCCAACAAGTATTAGAGGTGCACTTCTCAGGATGTACCATTGGGTAATAAATAAAAAATAAACAAATTGAAACCAATGTGGCTTAGTAGAGAAGTAAAACAAGATATTAAAAATAAGAAAAGAAAATGTGTACGTTCCATCTAAATGCGATATAACAGTTAATGAATCTGTATGTTCAAACCGTCTGAGAATGCTGTTGTGGCATTGCTGACAAGCGGATGTTATTCCTGCACAGCAAAAATAAAGAATTAAAAAAAAATAAAAATAAGAAAAGGGCATTTTAAATTGGACAAATCAGAGGCATCCTATAAAAGATAGAAGGAAGCCAATAATGTGTGCAAAAAGGTGATTAGATTCAAAATGAAAAGATAGAGCAAAACCAACCCCAAAGCATTTTTAAGTACATAAATTCTAAAAAAAAAGAAAAGGAAAGTGTAGGTACACTAAAAACTGGAATGGGATGTTAATTAATGAAGACCAAGAAAAGGCAGAAATTTGAAATAAATACCCATGGAAATATATGTGCAAATGATTGCTGCTAAAAACTTGCAGAAAAATTGTAATTGGTTAACTTAAGGCAAGGGTGCTGTAGGGTGCTGCAAGGGTGCTGTAGCAACTAAATAAAGTTAATATAAACAAAGCTCCAGGGCCTGATGGTATTCATCCATGAGTACTTAAGGAACTAAATGTAGAAATAAGTGAACCTCTGTTTTTAATCTTTTCTTTCAGGAAGTGTTCCAGAGGATTGGAGGAAGGCAGATGTGGTTCCTATATTCAAAAAGGGTTAAAAATCCTTGCTTGGAAATTATAGACCTGTGAGCTTAACTTCTGTGGCTGGAAAAGTATTTATTTGAAAGATTATTAAGGAATAATATTCAAGAATTCCTTGAGAAGAACATAGTTATCAGCAAAAATCAGCATAGTTTTATGAAGCACAGATCATGTCAAACTAACTTGATTGCATTCTACGAAGAAGTAAGTAGAAGTATAGATCAGGGTGTTGCAGTGGATGTGATCTATTTGGATTTTGCCAAGGCATTTGATACAGTTCTACCCAATAGATTAGTGTTCAAAATCAAGGAAATCGATCTAGATGAAATTTCTTGTTCTTGGGTAGAACATTGGCTTAAAAATAGAGTACAAAGAGTTGTCATTAATGGTAAATTTTCAAGCTGGACAGAGGTGTCAGTGGTGTCCCTCAGGGTTCTGTTCTGGGACCCTTTCTATTTGACATGTTCATAAATGATCCTCAAAAAAGCATTGAAAGTCATTGTTACAAATACTGCATAAAACATATATGTTCAACATATCCCCAGATAGCTTAGATCTGAGTGCACATTATTACCGAATGGCGCTCAGATCACATACATACAGTTTAATCGTCATGGAGCCAAAGTCTTTTACATAGTCTTTCGTTATACGAATGGGCTCCATGGCATAGCTATCTGGGGTAGCACTGTTCACACAGGGAAAGTATCGAATGGACGTTTGGATAAATGCAGGAGGAGGGAGGTCGGCGGCACAGCGGTGTTCGTGAATATAAGTGTCCGTTTTTAGTTCCACAGTTTTGTAGCTGAACACCGCTGGCCATTCGGCAGTTTAAGATGGCCGCTGCCATGTGTTCGGTTATACGAACAACAGCCACCCATCGTTCGTCAGTTAAGCTGCAGTTAACCACAGCTTCTGGGAGATCAATTGCCTGCACACTCCATACCCAGGTGGTCCGGTCATTCGTGCGTTTGTTCGGTAAATTGAATTTACCGAACACCCTGGCAGAAAAGCACGAACAAGCCTTTCTGCAGGGAGAAATAAAGGTTTTTAACACAGGGCCATAGTCCAGAGGTAGCAGGCTGGCAACCAGTCTTCTCCAGAACATAGTGGCAGGGTTGGTTTCGCCACAGTCATGTTTCAGTGTTTGCAGATGACACAAATCTCTGTAAAGTAATACAATGTGAACAAGATATTACTTTGCTGCAGAGGGTTTGAGATAGACTGGGGGACTGGGCATTAAAATGACAGATTAAATTTAATGTTGAAAAATGCAAAGTTATGCACTTCGGCGTAAAGAATGCACAAGCAACGTATTAGGGATAACAACACACGAAAAGTACTTGGGGATTGTTATAGACAACAAACTATGCAACAATGTGCAATGTCAATCAACAGTGCTTAAGGCCAGTAAGGTATTGTCATGCATGAAAAAGGGCATTCATTCTCGGGATGATCATTTTATTTTGCCTCTTTATAAATCACTGGTTAGACCACATCTTGAATACGCTGTGCAATTTTGGGCACCTGTTCTGTCAGAAGGATATTATTATACTAGAAAAAGTGCAGAGGCGGGCTACAAAATTAATAAAAGGAATGGAACATATCAGCTATGAAGAAAGGTTAACAAATTTAAACCTATTTAGTTTAGAAAAACGTTGCCTGAGAGGGGATATGATAACATTATACAAATATATTCGGGGCCAATACAAACCATTGTGTGGAAATCTATTCACAAACCGGACTTTACATTGGACACGAGGTCATGCGTTTAGACTGGAAGAAAGAAGATTTTGTCTAAGGCAAAGGAAATGTTTTTTTTACTGAAAGAACAATAAGGATGTGGAATTCTCTGCCTGTAGAAGTGGTTTTATCAGAGTCCATACAGATATTCAAACAGCAACTAGATGCATACTTGCAAAAACAGAATATTCAAGGATATAATCTCTCAATGTAGGGTAATAACTGCTTGATCCAAGGATTAATCTGACTGCCATTCTGGGGTCGAGAAGGATTTTTTTTCCCTAGTTTATTGCAAAATTGGAAGTGCTTCAAACTGGGGTTTTCTGCCTTCTTTTGGATCAACAGCAAAACAAATATGAGGAAGGCTGAACTTGATGGACACAAGTCTCTTTTCGGCTATGTAACTATGTAACAATGTGTCTGATTTACACAGACTAAACACATTTACTGCAGTATATAGACACCTTACTGTGAGTATTATTGCTGGAGTTCTGTTATACACTCAGACATAAACAATATGGAGCTCCTAGAAAAAATAGACATAGAGTTTGAGGTCCAAAATAGGTACTGTCCCTCCACAATAGGGACCCTTGGGAGATATGTCAGTGAAGGTGGCCCTTGGGTGCTTGGAAGACTCACAGGTTACATCAAATTGTCCATAAACTGTTTGATATTAAACCAGGTGATGGCTCCAGGACATTCAAGGCAACATTAGCATTACAGAGCTCTGTAGTAGATCTGTTGCTTAAAGTTTGGCTTCGGAGCAATTGCTGTGTTGGAGATAAATGAAAATTCTAATAGTTGAGGTGAGCGAGTAGAACTTTTTTTCCCTGTTCATTAACCACCAGGTTTTTGTTTTTATTTAGAGTTGTGTCAGATGAAAGATCGTTCAGGAACAGCTTAACATTCGGTGCAGATATGAGATGAATATTTCCCGGTGTTGGGCAGTGAGCAAGAATATGAGCTCTGAGAATCGTGAGAAAATGTCATCTAACAAACATGTATACGCAGGCAGGGCCTTATATGAAGTTCATGGTTCCCCTCGGCCAGACGTGCAGCAGAGGTAAGTTTGTTTCTATCTGCTTCTTCCTATTAAATGTATCTTTTTCCATTTAATTTAAGTTCTCACCTACACCTGGGAAAACGTTTAGAGGACACGAGGTAAATAGACATGATATCAAAATCCTACAATCTGAAACAGCTTTCTCCTGATTTTATGGGTTAACTTTACTTAATTGGGGCTATTTGTATTGCTCTGTGTTGGCATAAATCCATATCTAAATATTGTTAAAGATGTCTCTCTGTTTGTAGAGGGGAATTGTCATTTCTCTGGAAATCATGCAACTGAAAAAACATTAAAATCACCCGTAACGTGTGTTCACTTCTTTTACCTGCAGAGGGAGCTCTAATACAGCATCCTAATCTTTTAATCAATCTTGGCATTTAAAGCCCTATATCTGACAAATAAACCTTACGTTAAGAGTAGAGTTAGCTGGAATGTACAGATGTTTCACTTAGAAGTGTATTTACAAAGACAGTAATTGCAGCAACTACTGACATCTGCATACTTTAGGCCAGGGGGTTCCCAATTAATTTCACCCGTGGAACCCTTTGACATACTGTACCAACATGTGGTACCCCAAAAATTTTTTTGCACAGTAGCGCAGATAGTATTTAGGAGTAGGTGTGCTTTTGTGTGTCTACGGAATTTGCTATATAAATAATAAAATAATATTTTCCCCAGTTGGTGTTTGTATATAATTTTAGCATTTTGATACAGAGGTGTGTTAGTATGTAATGTTTGGATATAGTGTTGGTTTTTAAATGCGGATGTACATTTGTGTGTAGTATTGGTGTTTGAGTAAAGGGTGTGTTTGAGTGTTCGTACATATATTTGGCATTTGAATTCAGGGGTGTTTTTGTATGTAATGTTTGTATTTGCAGGGGTGTGTTTGCATGTTGGTGGGATTTATTGCATGTTGCTGTGTTACATACCTACATACTTACACAGACACATTAACACTCAGACACACACATTCATATACACACTAACCTTGACACACTGACATACAGTCAGATACACACACACTGGCACATACACACACACACCTTGACACATACACACACTCAGATACACACACTGGCACATACAAGCACACTGATACACACAGTGACACATATATACACACACACTCAGATACACACACTGGCACATACAAACACACTGATACATACATACTGACATAAACACACTGGCATATACAAACACACTGATACACTCACGTTGACACACAGATGCACACACACTGGCACATACACACACTCAGATTCACACAGTGACACATACCTTGACACACAGATACACACAAACTAGCACATACACATATATACACACACACAATCTGACATACATCAGAGCCACCCTCCTGTTAGCTTAACTAGTGTGTCCAGGAGGGTGGCTTGCTTGTGGTCCTGGTGGTGTTGGCTGAGGCTGATAGGAGTGTGCATGCAGCAGCTCCAGCCTCTCCTCTGCCATCCATGCTGTTGCCTGTCTGGGCGGCCCTCTCCAGCCTCCTCCTCCCTCTCTACCGTGCGGCCGCAACTCTGTGAAAGGGGGAGTAACTGATTACTTCCTCCCAGACGACCAAGACAACAGGGTTGCGGCACCCAACCGGGCCCCTGTTAAGCAATAAAATTGTGGCGGCCATTTTGTTTGGCGATATTACAGCAGAACCCATTTTTTGTTCTCGCAGAACACTAATTGGGAAACGCTGCTTTAGGCAAGAGTCTTCACGTAATCATAGCTGAGATTTTATCAACTTTGCCATTTTGGGCCCTGCCAGATATTTGAAGTCTGTACAGTGTGTTCCGCTCTAAAATGTCCCCAGAGGTAATCAAAACAGAAAGTTAGAGGGCACTAAAAACAGAAAAAAGTAACATCTTGTTCAGTTAGTCCCTCGCACATCAACCAGTTTAGCTCACATGTGCCATTACGTAGGAAGCCTATATAGACAATTTACATATTCGATTGATCAAGCCAAAAATGCAGTCTAGGACAAAAGTATCAGGCAGGTGATCACTTAGCCTTAAAGGCTAATAATAAATAAGATTGTTCTTCCAATGTATCAGTCAATTCAGGACTCAAACATGCAAAAAATGTCTGTACAAGCTCTATAGCTGGGCCTGGAAGGTGTTTATTGGCTAGCTTCCTATACTTTACTTTATTTTTAAATGTTTGCTTCCTGAAACAAACGGTAAAACATTATACCACTCCTCTCGCAGAACAAGCTGCAAAAGATCTAGTTAAACTGCTCATGACTTCTCTCTTTATAAAGTGCCCAGCACCGAGACAGATATGATCAGTTACTGAGCAATCTTTGTACACCAGAAACAAAGCAGTGATTCTATGAAACATGCATTGTCTATTATTTACAGCTCTGTAGACAGCTCTCTAGTTGTTATTGGAGCAAAATTTGGAGCTGCTACATCTGGTCACTGCAACCGACTGATTTGGAGCACAAACACTGATGCATCTTAGATCTTAGACTGGTCTAGCTAGTAGAGATTCTTTGTATCATTGTGTCTTGATTATGAGGAGGAGACCCAATCAATAATACAATGTGTGTGACGCTGGGGTGGACAGGCCACCATCATGTGCCGACTAGGTGTAAAGCCACCCAGTAAAAAGGCAGGCACCCCCTAATAAAACTGAGCAGCACCGTCCAAAATGTGGGCAGGGGGAGTTGTAAGCCTGGTATGTGTGCAGAGTAGGCTGCTCTGACTCTCCCCACTTAGGGCTGCTGTGGGTTTAAACCAGGTGTGCCCAAAGGTTATTATACATGTATTCAAAGCATCATGGGAGTTGTAGTTCTGCAACATCTGGGGATTTACCTATTGGACACCCTGGTTTAAACGATCCACCACTGACTTAATTCCATGAGGATACTCTATGCAAGTATGTTTATTGATGTACTCCCTGCACTCTGGGGACATTTACCCGGATGCAGAACACCAGGGGACAAACCAGGGTTTACCAATCTTTTTTTTTGTTCCTTTTAAGTATTGAACTAACCATCCACCATTAGTACGTCTTTTCCTCCTTCTCTCGAACACCCACACTCTTCTCTTTTTCTCACGTGTTGTTTTGTAGTTTTTCTCTTTTTAAACACGCTCGTGATGTGTATCACCATCCTTCTAAATCTCTTTCCTGTGTTTCCCTTCTTGCCTCAGAAGGACAGCGGATAAAAAATGAAGGTGTTGGACACAATGAGGGGGATTAGGCCCCTGATGATAAATGATACCATGTGTCAGATTCTGGCACACCCAGGCCTTGGCAATGGATACACAGACGTGCAATGCAGCACTTGCTTAAAAACACCTGCTCTATATACTTGGCAGAAACAGGGGATATAAACAGCCCTTATCCTGTTTGGGAATCCTTTATCTGCAGATAACACTTTATTATGATTTTGTGTTTCCATGCAAGAAACTCTTACAAGGAATTCGCTCCCTGCCCCCTATTTTACCGAACATGATAAGAAATGGAATTTCTACAGAACCCAAAATCTATTAATACATCAATGCAATCATCACGTGTAAAAAATAACAGCACCCGATGTAAAAATGCCTCAAAATAAAAAGCACATACAGCAATGCAAGTAACCGTCATATTGTCAGGGTTTAACTTTCATGGAATCCTTTTTTCCCTTGTTTTTCTTTCCACTACACTTTTAAGTTCTGTTGGTTTTCATGTGGGGAAAATACCCTAAGTTACATGCATCAAGCCACAAAAAATAAAGGATGCGAAAACATCCACATTCTCTCTCTCTCATTTTGCAAGCTGATATTTAAAGAACAACCGTTAGCAAAATTTCATTTCTCATTTACTCAAAGTTTGTGCATTTTTACGCCAGTTGTCCTTTAAAGTGGGTGGTCGAGTTTTAAGGGAATGGGGCCTTTGTTGCAACCAGTGCTACACTCTAGTGAGAAAGATCCAGTTTACTATTGTTAACTTTGGTTAAATCATTAAACCGTCTCAATCTCTATTGCAGAAAAAAGCCGGTTGATTCATGAGGGTCAGTGCGAGTGTAAAGCCTCTGTGTTGGACTGTGGGGAACGGGGGAACTTAATGTTGTGTTCAGTACTTGTGATTGTAAAGTGTTTTTTTTTTTGTTTTGTTTTTTGAAAGCCCAAACACCAAGGAGAGGTGTAACTTCCGGATGTGGGTAATGATGGCATTTTAAAACCCCTAGATATCTCATTACAGAAAACCAGGGGTTCTTAAACCCCTACTGAAAGTCGGCTTTCTGTCAGGCATCTGAAATGTAGGGTGCATATTTAGTTCTTTGTGGCTAAATGTTAAAGATATATTGGTTTAAGATCCCAGCACCACTGATGCACAGGTTGTCTCCTGAGCAGCCATGAGGCCCTACCAATGGTTCCATTTAAAAACCGAAATATTGTATTCATTGGATTACAAATCGTAACAGTGTTTCCATTTAGAAGCATTGACACGGAAATGAAGCAGGTAGGTTTAGGGGGACGTTGTGATAAAGTGATCAGGGCTATTCTGAAACGATCTATTTGATTATGGTTTTTAAAGACTAAGTAAACTCAATGGCGCATAAAGGAGAAAGCGTGAAATCCCAAAATGCTCACATTATATCACATAGATTCTAAAAAGCTGACCGACAGAGATTTGGCAACATGTTCTGCATAGATCCAGGGTACGCACAGGCAGTACTACTTATGGTTTAGTGAGTTTAAAATAAAAAATAAGAAAAAGAAAGTGAAAATGAAATCATGCAAGTAGTTCTCTGAAATGTGCAACACAGAATGACGAGAAATTAATTTACCACTAAATCACATTACTGTTGAGCAAATTATCCAGATTACACCATGTTTGTTTTTTCCAATGTATTGTTTATGATTTGGGAGTTGACTATTTCATTGAGCTCTACTTAAGTTGGGAGGGAAATTGTAAACACATTTAATCAACTGCATGACAATCCCCAAGTCTGAATCCTCTCTAAACCTTCTTGTAGGTCATGATCTTGCGTTATCACATATTTAAAGATCTATATTCCCCTGAAATGTAATGGGGTTGGTTTGTTTTTTTGCCTCAACGCTTGTAGGTGCTAAACCTGTATGGGGACAAATATTCATTAAAGAGTTACTCCAACTTTATATGTGTATATATATGTATATTGCTCTATTGGGCACTATTAGCATGCCTACCACCAAATTTGTAATAATATTCTACAAAAGAAGGTAATGCTGTGTCACTCTTTCCCTCTCCGTGGTCCAATCAAATGCTTTTCATAGCTGAGCATTTGATTGGACCTTTCACCTGGCTCGGAGGATATGTGCCCCGGGGAGGGAGAGATCGGTGGATGCCCAGAGTGAGTGCATTATTAACAATAACTAAACCGATTGACGAGGGCGGGGAGCTCAAGCTTCCCCAAGTAAAAGCTGGTTACATCTGTCGCTAACATGCTGTTAGCACTGATGAGAAGCATCATGTCTGCACAGAATTTATATTGGGCATCCCGGAACAGAGTTGCAGGGCTGCCTAAGTCACGTGTGCCTTAGGTGTAACAAGCTAAGATTGCGCTGAATAAGCAGAAATGCTCCACATGCAGACTCCTGGAGTAACCCTTTAAGCAGTCTTGTTTTGGTGGGTGTGGGGGGTGGTGGGTGTTTTTTGAGTCCACTTTCCCTATATAAGGTGGGATTTCTAATGTACTTTACGTCTTGGAAATGATGTCTGCTTGTATTGTAATATAGCATTGTGCTACATATACTGGGCATGGAACCACAAGCTGAATATATTATGTTTTATATACCAGTATTGGTCAATGGACATCAATAACTATAGTTTTGATCTTGTCTTTGACATTGGCCTGCTTTCTTTTTATTGTTTTGAAGGACTCACGTTTACTCAAACTGTCACAAATATAACAAATTAAAAGAAAATGTACTTTTTGCCCTTAATGTTTTTACAGCTCTTGCATTAATTAGCTGAAGGGGGTCAAGGTAGCAGTGCCAAGACATTATCCCAGTACCCAATAAATGGCATAAATTACAGCAAATATTAGCGTTGTGCACAAGAGAGCATTTAAGTAATACAGTTTTACATCAGTGGCTTGCATTTAGAATTCCACATGTAAAGGAACATAATGTCCATTTTTATAATCCCTCCAGACACACTAATCGGATTTCAACAGAGTGTAGAGATGTAGAATGTAACCCTTTACTGACTATCTGACTGTATTGAGATGCCCTTTGAATATGTGAATAGCTGCCAAATTCAGCAATTCTGTTCTCCATCGGTAGTTGGGTCAAACCAGTTTGGAAGCAGCTGAGGAAGAATTAAGGAGAACACTGCTTTCCTCAGGTCATATTAACTAGTGGAATGATTGCGTAAAACGTACCGTTTATTGCCGTGCTACAGCAGATTGGACTTGCACCATCAATAAGCCCACACCACAGAGGATCCTGCAGTGACGCTTGGCATTCCAAGTAAAAAAGTTACGACCTATTTACTGGCACCGAAAACACTTCCAAGACGCCTACAGTATGCATTTTAATAGGTTATTTAAAGCGCTCTGTCAGTCCACGTGCCCCCCTCCTCCCCTCCCTTTAGTAAAATAGAAAATAAAAGCATTTCATAAAGATAAAATCTTTTATGAAGTGCTCATTAAGACTGGGTTGAAATTTCACTGGAATTCCAACCTAGTAGGGACTAGTTTGTCTTATGCGTTTTTCGTATGCTTGACAAAAAGCGTAACTACCTTTTGTCAAGCCCTCAGCTGTCCGTAATGACGACTGAGGGGGAAAAGGGTATTTTTATGGAGGATCCTGCATTCTCAGTATTGTGCATGCGCGAGAGTACAGCACTGACGAAGGTTCCTGGCAGATGTAGTCCCAGGAGCTGAAGATGACTTTACAGAAGAAGATGACGACCCTCTGAGTAACGGTTATGTTAGTAAAACCTACCTTCCCAAGCACTCCTGGGCCACCACACCACAAGCAGAGCAGTCACCATGTGCCGTCTATGCAGAATATGCAAGGATCCAGGAAGGTGACAGAACTGCTTTAAACTGAGATTTTAAGGAAGGATACAGTCTTTGCAGATCTTTGTTTTAAGGGGATAATCTAAGCACCAGAGCCACCACAGCTTAATGTAGTGTTTTTGGTGTATAGATGCTGTCCCTCTCTTCACAATCCACCAATCTATTGTGTGTTCTAGAGAGGCATTGGACACACACTCACTGTCTGTCGTCGGCATATTTTGCATCCTCATACCAGACGTCAAATACATTTAATTATTGTTCTCTTTTTATCCAAAGCCTCTAGTGACTGTCTGAATGACTGCTATCTAGCACCATATGAACTAATTAAAATCATTTCGCTATTTAATTTTTTTTATTTCCCACCCCCCCTTGCTCTCCTAGAACCCTTTTAGTAGACAACTAACTGCAGAATCTGGCCTTAGCTGTACGTGTGTTACATGGTATACAAATACAGAGATACAATCTAACAGGGTTGTTTACAAAAGAGTTAGAATTGTTGGCAATTCTACAAGGTAACGTTTTAGACCAAAATAGCTGAACTGGATGGCTTTACCATTTTGTCTATTTTTGCTGAAAATGTTACATTTCATTTGAACTGACAACAGATCTCTTTAGTGAATAATCCGGTTAGTCTCCCACTTAGAATCTAAGTAGCTCTGTTTGGCAATATCTTCCTTCCTTCCGAATATTGCTCAAGGTATTAAGACTGCAATTGCGCAACTGTTCTGCAAATAGACAAACTATGGAAAAAAATTAAATATCTCACAGTGTATATTCTTCGATTTAAAAAAAAAAAAAAAAAAAGGTTAAATATCCCCGTGCTCACCCTTGTTTGCTATGTCAAATATCCACTGAATTATATTAAAATGAAACTGTCACACCTCTGGAAATTTCAACATTGAATAAAACACTCAAAATCACTTCTAGTTTGTGTTAATGTTTTTCACAGCATTGCTTGTCTTGTCTTCTTTTTAAATAATATTTCAGTGTCTTCTTTTTAATTAACTGGCAAAAAATGCAACATTTCTGCCTATGATTGACAGGTAGCCAAGATGGAGGAGTCCAGTTCCAAGATAGAAGAATGGATTTCTATATATTTATCATTATGTTTTAGATCTCACAAGAACACGTTTGCTAAGTTATAGAGGATGGATAACCATAATATAAAAAGTCCTAGGCAGTGAACATTTCACTTTAAAGAATAGTGCAATAAACAGGGCCATATATTTTTTAACACAAATTTAGCCAACCTTTTAATCATACCACTTTATTTTGAAAGACTTCTGTGTTTGTGGTTTTTATAGCCGATATATCTCTTGAAAATCAGGTTAGATAAGGTTGCTCGGAGACTCTGCATGTTTATTTCCAAACCCTTATGCTTCCAAGGGAGCAGGCTCGTTATCTTGGACTATCCCTGAGTGTATTTTTGGAGCTTCTACAGGAATTTCTAAAATTAGCTGAAAATTGTTTATAGAAATCACAGCCTACTGAGATTTAAGGATTTCCACCATTTAATCAACGATATTCAAAAAAGATTCAATCTATGTAGTACATAAAAAAAACAAATGTGCGTGGGATATAATGCTTGGATAAGAGATTTTAGGTGACTTACTAATAATAATTTAAGCAGTTAAAATGTAATTTAGAACAGGAACAATGTCTCTTATTTACACAGACTGATTTCTAAACACATTTATTGTAGTTTAAAGACATATTACTGTGAGTATTATAACTGGGACATTTGTCATACACTCAGACACACCAACAATATGGAGCTCCTAAAAACACGGGCATTAGGATAAAAAAAAAAAAAGAGGAACAGATGGGTGACAGAGGGATTTAGGTTCAAAATAGGGACTGTCCCTCCTAACTGGGACACTTGGCAGGTATGCGTTTGTAACTGAGAACATGGAAGCTTGACAGATAACCTGCTATAAGGTGTCTCACTCACATTTGACAGACTTGGATATAAAAGTTGTAGTTTAATGGGAATCTGTATTCCATATGATATCTAAACTACTCCAGATAGACATTTCAATAAGTAAGAAATAAACAGCTTAGGTCCCCTACGCACCTAGAATTGCACAAAAGCAAAATTCCCTGCGGGCTTACCAAAATGTGCAAATTGGGCCTTTAATTATTCTGTTGGTTCTCTTAAAGCCGAGCATGATACCATAGTGACATAGTGATTCTCTATATTATCACCGTTTAACTCTTTTTTTGAGATTCCATTTTCAACTTCCTATAATTGCAGTTAAAACTGTAGTTTGGAAACAGGATTTTACACTTGCGGCACCATGAAAACTACAGCCGACTGCAGTGATTATGGTGCTAGGATCCCAAAGGGAAATACCCTCCACACTAAGCACACTAAGCCAAACCCTACTGGTGGCAATGTCGTGATGAGGGAGTTCCAATTCTCTGTTTCTTGGGATTCTTTTTGCAGGCTTGATAGGTATGTATATGGTTCTTTGTATTAGAAGAACCTCAACGTGAACTATACCAGGGTTGTCTACTGAAGCAAGAATTGCCAGGAATGTCCGAGACACTTTAAGGCCAAGCTAGCCAACCTAGAAGCACAGCTGACTGAGAATTGTCCAGTTCAATTACTTTGGCCTTAAATGTGAACATCATTTTGAATACCCCATATTCTCATTTTAGCATATAACCTGTACATTATTTTTTTTTTTTTAAATAGTTTTTGTTTTTATCAGATCGCAAAATTCTGATATTAAATGCCTTACTCAGTACAGCAGGAATTGTAGAGAACATAGTTTTTTGGGTTTTTTTTCTTCTTAAATCTACTTTGGCCTAACAATTTGCAATAACTTATTCCAGTGGTGCCCAGAAGGTAGATCCACCATATGTTTTAAAGCTACAGCTTCCATAATGCTTTGTCATTCTTAAGGCATTTTAAAAGCATGCACAGCATCATGGGAGTTGTAGTTCTACAACATCTGGGGATCTACCATTTGTGCACCAGTACCGTAGTCAAATCTCCACAATTCTCAGTGTAGGCAATACCTCTGTTAATCTCCTAAAGATTATGGTCCCTCCCAGTCTGAGATCTTACTTTGGCTTTGCGACATTGTTCTTGTTAAGAGGTCGATGCTTTTGACTTTGAAGTCTTCAACTAGAATATTTATTTCAGGTTTTTTTATTCTACTCCTCGTCTCGACTGTTTAACATCCTCCCCCCCCCCCCCACATCACTTTGTGTGAAACAATCATCCCATCTACATATTAATTAGAGGACTTTCAGCACTTGGCTAATTAACATTCATGCAGATTACGGCCGCGACATAACACGTCTGTCTCTGATGGGCGAGGGTTGGGGGGGCATGCATTACGATGGCCTCATCAGCACTACATATCTTTTAATTAGGGACTTTAATTATTTCCACTATGCTGCGTTAGATGCCAGAGCTTCTGTCAGACGAAGCTGCTCCCACACTGCCCCTTTATTCCTCACTTTCAATGATACTTGATGGAAACAATTAGATTTAATTAAGAGAGCGTCCGTGTGAGAAGGGCAAGGGGATGGCATCCGGCTTTTTCTCCGAATATGCGCTCGTTGGTTCCTGCCAAGGTTGAGAACTC